TAATTGCTTCAAAGCCTGCAGGTTTCTTTCGCGACGGCATTTGCTGAGCAATTGGCAAAAATTAAGACATACCCCAAGTTTTTTACCTTCTGAACCTGCTAGGTAAGCCCCAGACGATGCAGGCGTCGACGACAATGACTGATGCGTCTCCACACGGGTGTGGTCTTTGTCTTCAGCATAAGCCAATCATTCGATAAAATGAACACCAATCGACGTTCGGTGTGCTGCGTTGGAGGTGGAAAATGCTTCAAAAAGCAAAACATTTACGCCATTTAAACCTCGCCTTCCTCCTATCTAGAAGACGAGAAAACGGGGAGGAGGAATGAGGAGGAGGAGGAGGAGGAGAAGGAAGCGGTACGTATGGTGCAAAAAATCTTCGACATGTTAACATCCGACACAACGACAAGTACGAGGACGATCTGCAGGAATGCGTCGAATCGACCTGTCAAGTCGCCGACAGCGCCAACCATGCTTCCTCTCTCCTCTCTCTCTCCCTTGCGAGTGTGTACGCACACAAGTGAAGAATATTAACGACTTCCTGTCAGCTGGTAGTGCGTATACGTTGCCCAACATCGGTAGAAGTAGATCTAGAATGATGTAGGGTGGGGTCCGCAGACAAACACACCCTTCTGCTTCGCTTTCTTCCTGATTTCAGTTAACATCGAAGAAAAAACGAGGTACCCGCTCTTTCGACACCCCAGGTTCCAGTCAAGACGTGAAATTTCGACCAGCCTATTTTGGCAATTTATCGATGTTTTGCGGGATTAGAGGCGCGGAATTGGGAGTTTGAAGTTCCACAAATCGATTCCTCTTGAAGGGACCAATTTTTTTTCCTGAAATAAAGTGTCTTCAGTTTTTTTCGAAAATGGACGAATTGGGATGCGATTGTGGTAGTCATTTTTCTTGCCTTACCTCTCATTAACATTCAAAAGCAGCGCGCAAGACAGTCGAGTGAAAGCCTTTCGCATCGGGAGGAGACATTTATCTTTTCACGGCGGCAGGGTTCAACTAAATGTCACGTCCTCGTGAGGGGTGATTGATGTCACCATGTCCACTTGAAGGCAGCCCTCCACCCCTCCCCCGCACCTTCCGTTTGGTCTTCCCCAAAATTCTCACGGTATGAACACACAGACACGCGGTTGTGTAGGCCTGATTAACCCACGTGGTGTATCGACCGCACGCTAGCGCCATTCCCGCAGTATCGATCGGTCGACTGCTGCGCGCTGACCGTCGCTCGCTCCGCCAGGCCCCAGAGACCAGAATCGTGGAATGCCTCGTTCGAGGGGGGGTGAGGAAGAGTTTTTCAAATACCGCGGGGTCATTCAAGCCTGAGTTGGACAGCTGTTTCTGGCATGGCGCCCATCGCCACAGGGGTGATAATTTCCTGCTGTGGTAACAGACGCGTCTGTCGCTGTCGCAGAGACAGACAAACGCGGAGCGTAACAGCTGCCCACAGAGGAAACAAACTGATTGATACTGGTGGTAGTGGTGGTGCGGGCGTGTCTGCGAAATTATGGCTTGTCCTTTGCGAGGACGTGGTTTTTCCCGTGCACACACATACATGGTATGCTGGAGTTCTATTGCAGTGAACGTCTAAAGCTCACGATCTATTGCCATTGGTTGATCACTCAAGATGTCCTAGGCGTGTCAGCAGCATCTGGAGCTGATTGAAAATTGAGAAAGCGATCAACATGGGCAATGCACGACCCCTCTATCGCACGCCCCCGATTGTCATGAGGTCAACGAAACGACATGACAAGTGAAGACTCTGACAGGAGCGGCTAAAAGTACACACAAACCATGAATTGTACATTGGAATTAAACGCATGCACTAAAAATACTAGAGAGTGATTGCCAGATGCTATAACTTTCTTGCGTAAAGTCAAAATCATTTAGAACACCGTGTATCGCGAAGGCTCATTCGACTACCTGTGATTGATTAGTGAGGTCATACACTTTGATTAATTACCCTGGGTCACTCGAACGTGGCTCTTTCATGTTCCGCTCGTGACGTAACGTCAGGATAACGCTGGCTGCTTTCACTTCATCCATCGATGCAGACGTAGCTCTGAAGGGATTAGCAAGGAGTACAACAACTACGCTGACCTCGAGTAGTTGTGATACCCTGCAAGTTGGCATGTGTTAACACAGCGTCTGGACGAAGTAAAGAGGTTCATTGGGAATTGGGAAGGCCTGTTAAGACGTGAATATTTTGCGTGACATCATCGTCATTATCCTCTCCACTGTACCATCTGTTCGATTTGCCAATCGATGCTCTTGAATTTTTTATTGGCTGCAAGTTGACTGTTCTAGTACCCAATCATTCGTCTTCAGTTCAAACGCCAAGTATTGAATCAGTGACTGAATCGGTGGAAATGTCCACCAATGGAATTAGATAACAGGTACCAAATACCAGAATATGCTTCAATTTTGCTTAACCGATTGGGACCACGGGAATCACCAACAGTTGCGAGGACAACAACTGCATGATTCCCTTATCTGTTTTAACCAATGGAAAAAGCCTGTCATCTGTGCCACAAGGGCTCACATAACCCTCACCACAACCTGAATTCGCACAATTGGAATGGAAAATTCATCCATTGCGCAAATCACAATCGATTTTAATTGACTTATAAAATTGTAACCTATCACACAATTCCCAATTACTCGGGCAAGCAAGAGTGTTCCAGGAGTCAAGACAAGTCAAGTCAGGTCGGTAAAACGCTGACAACGCAGAAAG